CCGACTTCTCGTGGCCCCGGTCCGACTTCTCGTGGCCCCGGTCCGACTTCTCGTGGCCCCGGTCCGACTTCTCGTGGCCCCGGTCCGACTTCTCCTCAGCATCTGGGGAGGCAAAAGCCTTGAAGTGGCCTTCCTCCTCCCATCTCAGAGCCCCAGCAGCCTCTGCCTTCAACAACGCCCCCTTGCCTGGGGTTGGGCCTGCCTGCCTCACCTGCCCCTGCCCCAATGCACTGTCGTTTATCTGAGCCCGCTCTGAGAACTGCAGAACCGCCTGAGGCGCCCTCGGATCTGCCAGCTCACCTGCATTACTGGTCCTGAGCTTCTTGGCCGATTTGGTGACGACGGAGTTGGGGTCGTGTGGGGAGAGCCAGGACACGAGGTCTGTGTCCACGTTCCAGTAGTAAGGGAGCCCGCTGCGGGGCGGGCGGGGGGGAGAGGAGTGTCAGCGCAGGCGTCCTCTCCTCACAGCCTCAACTCCTGTCTCCCCAGTCTCTACTATACCTGCCCCATGTCAGGACCCCGGAGGACCCCCAGACCTCTTCCCTATGTTCCCTGTTTACCCCAAGGCCAGGCACAACACAGGAAAGGTGAAGTCAGCCGTCAGCTCCCCCCCTCGCCTCCCCCCAGTTCCCCAGGCTCACCAGGAAGGGTCAAACACCTTGTACCAGCTTGGTGGCAGGCCCTCCAACCGGGTGGCCTCATAGTCCACAGGGTCATCATCGTAGTCCTCAGCAATGATCTCTTCCTCTGGTTCTGGCAGAATAGCGGGGTGGAGGAAAGCAGTCAAGGACCAGAGGGATTCTCATCCTATAGTCAGAGCCTGGAGAGACACTCAAATCCACATGGACCACGTGTGGGGGGCGGGGGAGTGCATCAGGTCTCACCTGCTGTGGCGAATATCACATTCCAAATCCAAGTGTCTGAACATCAGGGGATTTGCCAAAAAATGTACCTAAATCTCTTCTGTTTCTGGGTTTGGATAAGATTTGAGATTTGATACTGTTACCCCGACCTATCTGATTTCAGAATTTATACAAGGATTCATCAAAACAAACGTAGCCTCCAGTTCCTGCATTCAGGAAGCATGTGACACCATGCTATCCAAATCTATTTGGATAAAGTGAATTTGAACCAGTAAGGGGTTGTTCTGAAAATACGTCCAAATCTATTCGGCTCCCAAGCTTGGCAAATCCGGGGTTTCTGATTCTGTCTATTGAGTGGCAAGTCTGGATGGCAAGGGATATATCCAAACACTGCTCTGAATCCATTCAGGTCCTAGGCCTGACACATAGCAGGCCCGCAGCAGCTGTCAGTTACTATCGGTAAAATAAAAGGCGTATGTTGTCAGCTTGGTACATGACCCTCAGTAGGCCTACCACAGATTTCAGCTGTGGATAGGACTAACAATGAAATGTATATGTCAGCAACAGCATACTGCCTGTCACACAATAGGCCCAAAGTAGATGTGAGCTATAATCATCAGTGTTGTTAGTAAGATGTATATTCCATCAGCATAGGGCCCGGTACTCAATAGGCTTAAAATAAATTATCAGTGATCCTTATCAGTATTATTAACCACAAGATCTATGCGACGCACAGAGTAGCTTGTGACACATGGCATTTATCAATGAGGTGAAAATAAGATGGATTTTCCAGTGCCTCGCACACTGTAGCCCAAAACAGATGCCAAAAAAAAAAAAAAAAAAAGATGCCACTTACTGACAATGAGGTGTAAATATTAGCAGGAGCAGCCCAGTAGGCATAAATGATAGATCCTTTCATTGTCTTCTACCGTTAGCCATAATGTGTATACCAAGCACTCAGGCCCAAAATACATGTCAGCTACTGATACGGTGAACAATAAGGTATAGATCACCAGCATCATGCCTGGCACCACAGTAGGTTTAAAATAATGTATTCACTAGGGTAAAGAACAAAGTATCAGCATCCTGCTACAGTCTACAGAAGATGTAAGCTATCTTTACCGTAGGATACTTTGTAATCACTTACACGGATTGGTAGATGGATTGCACGTGGCATACAATAGGCCCCCCCCAAAAAAGGCATCAGCTGTCAATATTAAGCACGAAATATGTATTCCCTACCCCCACCCCCGCCCGCAGTAGGAATGGATGTCAGGAAGCCATATTGCTAACAATGTCCGCCACCCCACTGATTGGTGCGCAATAGGCCCATGCTAGGTATCGAGTGGCGGTATCAACTACAAAGTGCCTGCCAAGCCTGGCACATGGTAGGCCCATCTGCTTTAAGCTCGCTCACCGGGCTCCAGATGTTTGAGGATGCCTCTCTTGGCCAAGCGGGTCTGCAGCGCAACAGGCAGCGGCATAGTGGATAGCAGACAGACCTAGGGACGGACGGATGGACAGGCATACGCACGCACACACACAAAAACAACTCAAATGAGGATTCAAATCCCGATCCTAAAAATCAAGCGCCTCCTCCCAGCATATACTCATCTGGACCCCCACTTACCCACCTGGACCAACAGCTGGCTGGACGGAACCGACGCGCTAAAAGGTGGAAGATAGGTGCAATGCCACCCAAATTCCCACCGACCCCCGCCTCGAGGCTGGGTGTTCTAGGACCCAGTTCCCCTCCCGGGCCCAGGCTCCGCCCACCGCCGAAGGGGCCAAGCTCAGTTCCCCCGCGCCCCAGGAATGGGCTCACCCAACGTCTCCCAGAGACTGCCGGGTGGGAGGAACCAAAGCGTTGGGACGGGGGGAGCAGAGTGCAGCACCTCCTCCAGCTGCAAAAAATGCACCCACCCCGACATTACCAATGCAATCACGCGAGTAGTAGAAGGCTGTCAGACCGGCGGCCCTTCCCTTGTCGCGGCTAGGATCACCAGCACCACACGACTGCCTTCTCCCAAAGCATGGAACGACGTCCTCCCTCCCCGAGGCTTGAAGGAGCTGGGCCGGCGCTCAGGCTGCGGTACAAATGACGCAAACCTGGGGGGCCAATGAGAGCGTGGCCCTGGCCTGACGAGCGCCAAGCGACCCAATCGCAGGCCTGGAATGGGTGGACAGCTCGGGCGCCTGTGTGCGTTTACGGCGGGGGCGTGGCCCGGCCGAGGTTTAGCCAGACTGCGCGGCCGGACGCCGGCGCCATGGAGGAGTACGCTCGGGAGCCTTGGTACGGCGATGGGCACAGGCCCCGGGACTGTTGCTGCGGCGCCACGGCCGGCTGTGGGAGGTGGGCGGGGGAGGCGCCGGCCACACCGCGCCACGTCCCAGACTCGGGAGACCCTTAAACATTTGTGGTCTCCTTCCGCTCCCCTCCGCTTCGTTCCTCCCACTCGGGCTCCGTTAAGAGGGGCCGCAGCCGTGTGCCTGGAGACGGTGCGGTGCCGGACCAACCGCTCCCAAGTGTCCCCGGACTCCGTTATCTCCCCAGTTCCGTTTTGATAACGAAAAGAGACACGCTGGTCGAATCCATTCCAGCCCGGGGAGGTGGTGGCGGTTGTCAAGCGGAAATCCCCACGCGCGGCTTTCCCGAGGGTCGCTTTAGCGAATGGGGGCGGGGCCTGGGTGAACCTCTTGTGGACAAGCCGGATCCTCCCCCCCCCCGTCTGCTCTTGGTTTTTCCCAGTTGGGGCGGGTTGAAAAAGGGAAGAGGGCGGGGTTTGGTGGGACTTGCTCATTGTCGGAGACGGGGGTGCGACCCCGTCCTGCTTTAATAACAGTACTAGCAAATTAACGCTTCCACAGCGCTGATCCAAACGTGCCCACTCCACGTGTATCAGTTGATTGAATCTTTGGTAGTAGGAAGGCAGTTGGCTGATTCCTTGGTTGGCTGCGAGGGGAGGGGCAGACAGGGCCAAGACTGATGTTTTTTCCCTTTTGCACCATTTCTTGCTGAAATGAGGGGGGAAATAATATCTGAAGTGCTGCTTCCCATTCGAGTGACTTGCCTTCTCCCAGTTGGAAAGAGTCCATGCAACATGGGAGGGGGAAGAGGGGCTCACTTAACCCCACCCTCCCCTTCCGGCTTACAGCCCATGGCGAATTGTGGACGATTGCGGAGGAGCCTTCACTATGGGTGTCATCGGCGGTGGAGTCTTCCAGGCCATCAAGGGCTTCCGCAACGCCCCTGTCGTGAGTCGTGGCCGTCCCCGGGTGGTGCGGGGGTCCTGCCCTGCTCACACGGGCGGGATACTGCGCTGAAAACTGCTTGGAGCTGCCATGACTTACTCATTCTGGTGCCTGCTAGCCTACTGTGTGCCAGGCCTGGCTCCAGGATCTGTGGTTTGGGAAGAACTGCAAATAATGCCCTGTGTCCTTCGCCCCCACCACCCAACTGGGGCTCCTCTGTGGAAATACCGTGCTGTCAAAACGATCCCAAATCCTCAATGTATGTGCAAAGCCAGAGAGATTTTCCCCAGAGGCAGATTACCTGGCTACAGGGAAGTGACAGGAGTTTAACTGGCAGAAGGAGAACAGCCTTAAAGTTAAGAAAATGCTTTTAATGTAACCTAATCAATTCTCTCTCTGCCCACCCTCTTCCAAGATCTTATCAAACATCATGCCATTTGCCAAGGTCTCTGCAATTTATATATCTGGTCCTGTCCCTCCCCTCAACTCCTGGAACTCTTTCCTAGATCTTTGCCCAGATTTCCTGTTCCCATCCTCAAGGTCTCAGCACAACCCCCCCCCTTTTAGAGTCCTTTCCTGACCCCTCAGTCATTATCGTGTCTCTTGATCCCATTTCCTCCAGGGTGTGTATTGCTGTGTGAAGCTATCTTGTTGATCTGTACCTCTGCTGGGGATCTGTACCTCTGCTGGGGATCTGTCTCTCCCACTGTAACGTGAGCTCTGAGAGGGCAGGGGCTAGGTCTGTCTCAATCACCATCCCTGCATTACAGCATGGTGCCTGGCGCTTAGGTGCTATTGATCACTGAATGAACGAGAACTTCCCCACCCACGGCTGAGAACGCCCATGTGAGGGTGCTCCCCAGCCTCTTGAGTTCTCGACCCCTGCTCCGCATCTCTACTCCTGATACCCCTGACCTGTCGTGTTCCCTCTCTTAAAAGCTAGAAACCCTGCGTGCCAGGGCCCTCATCCCTGTTCTCACTCCCCGCCTCCTCACTTTTCCCAGGGAATTCGGCACCGACTGAGAGGTAGTGCCAACGCTGTGAGGATCCGAGCCCCCCAGATTGGAGGTGAGAGGCTTGGAGAGACCCAGGAGCTGGGATGCCGAGTTGGGGGTGGTTGCTCCTGTGGTTCTAGACTGCAAATTGGGGTCCACATTCCAGCCCCAGCTCTGCCTGGGACTTCCAGGACAGTGATGTTTCCCAATAATTTAATACGGAGGGGCAGGAATGTGGATTCCGGAGTTTAAATCCAGGCCCCGGATCGTCCCTGATGCATGACTTTGGGTTCGTGGCTTCACCTCTCCGAACCTCATCGGTAACTTGGGGATGGCGATAGCAGTAACCACCTAAATTGTTTTGTAAGTTATGTCATTTACATTTATGTCGTTTACAGAGAACTTACTAAGTGCTGGTTGCTCTGCTAAGCACTTTAATAATATTAACGAATTTAAGACTTCAGAATCAGTGCCTAGAACAGGTCCTGGTGCACAGCAGGGCCTCAAGAAACACTTTAACTATTCTGGTGTTAACCGGCTTTCATAGCCTGTTTTCGTGTCCCTTGAGCCAAGATTGGAATTCCAACTGGGTGTGATGGTTAGGAAGATCAAAGTTGCTCTGTTCAAAGCCACATCAAGATAAATCTGCTTGTAAACACTTGTCAAACCCCTACAAAGGTGAGGGGAATGCCGGTGGCAATTAGAGATCGCTTGACGAAGGAGCAGCCTCGGGCAGACGGGGGGGGGGGGGGGCTGGGATATCCCCTAGGAGTTTACTCTCTGCCTTTGTGTCCCGGTTTTTCTCCCCATTCATTGCCAGAGTGTTCAGGCCTTGGAAAGTCCCCAGACACTGAGCTGTGGATTTTGAGGGATTCCTCAGGAACACTGATTCGGCCTCCGTCTCCCTGCAGGTAGCTTCGCGGTGTGGGGGGGCCTGTTCTCCACCATCGACTGCGGCCTGGTGCGCCTGCGGGGCAAAGAAGATCCCTGGAACTCCATCACCAGCGGAGCATTGACCGGGGCCGTGCTGGCGGCCCGCAGTGAGTGCCCCACCCCCTGGCCCCCAGCCCCAGCCCCTTCCGCCCTGTTCTGCCTGCCCTCACCTCTTTCTCCCTGCCTCTTCACTCTCCCAGGTGGCCCATTGGCCATGGTGGGCTCAGCAATGATGGGCGGTATCCTCTTGGCTCTCATAGAGGGTGTTGGCATCCTCCTTACTCGCTACACTGCCCAGCAGTTCCGCAACGGTGAGTATCTGGCAGACGCTGCTCAGGGAGAGGTGCAAAATGCATTGCCCCTCACCCTTACCTGATTCTTTCCTCTCCAGCACCCCCGTTCCTGGAGGACCCCAGCCAGCTGCCCCCTAAGGAGGGTACCCCAGCCCCAGGCTATCCCAGCTATCAGCAGTACCACTGAGGAAGTGACTGCCTATCATCACCACCGTGGGAGCCCCTCCTCCGTTCCCTCCCCGATGATCTACCTCGAAGGGAGGGCTGGCTCCCAGTTGGCCCTGGGACCCTCCAGAGAGGGCCTCTACTCTGCTCCCTTGTCCCAGGGTGGGGGGTGGGGCACCCCAGCTGCCCTGATGGATGGGTCCCCTTCTCAGGGCACCCCAACCCCAAGTTCACATGTAACAAGTTCTCACCCCAGCCCCTTTTCCTGGCGCCCTGATGAGTATTTAAAGCCAGTTTTGAAATGCCTGTGTTTGTACTCCTTGAGCCGTGCGTGTTGGGAGCCCCTCCTTAGGACAGGGGGCAGAGCCCTCTTCAGAGACTCAGAAGCCCTAGAACTTGGAGTCCCACAGAGAGTGGGCTCTAGTAAATGTCTGTGGGATGGATGAGCAGGAGGGGGAATGAATCAAGATGTGAATAGGTACGTGAATAAGGGTGTGTGGGGGCCAAGTGATGACTCGTAGGCAGACAGAGGAACAGGCTTGGGAAAGAAGTGAGTGAGCAGGAGGATTACTGGGGGGGGGGGGGAGGGGAGTAGTTCTGCACCTTGCATCCCTGAGCCCTCCCGCCCATGCCCCCATTGCCAAGGCTGGGAAATCTGATCTCACAGTCAATTCTGGCTCTCTGGATCCCAGTCACCACGTTTGTGAATGTGATCTCCCTCTGTGGCTTCCCCATGGACCTGGGATGGAAGTAGGGGTCAGAAGGATCCAGCTTGCTTTTTTTTAAGATTGTATTTATTTGACAGAGACACGGCGAGAGACAGAACACAAGCAGGGGGAATGGGAGAGGGAGAAGCAGGCTTCCCGCTGAGCAGGGAGCCCAATGCTGCTGGGCTCGATCCCAGGACCCTGGGGATCATGACCTGAGCCGAAGGCAGACGCCTAACAACTGAGCCCCCCCCAGGCGCCCCGAAGGATCCAGCTTTCTTGAGGAAGATGCCCTGTGTCAGTCTCCTCTTCTGTACCACAGAGCTACTTCTCAGCTGATGCTCAGTGTTGCAGTTTTTTAAGAGCAACCATAAAATAACCAGAAAAGAGTTTTCATATTGGGGTGGGGGCATTATGGGAAAGAGATCTTTCTGGAGGGACATTGGCCCCAAACGCTGTCTCTTCCATGCAAACCCCTACATGCGTGGGGCCAACACTGTCACCACGGGGGTGCAGATGGCCTCACGGGGGACCTAAGAACTGTCTCTTCTAGTGCAAGCCATTACAAAGAGGTGATGTCCTTAGACAAAATGGCTTTCTGCGGGTAAAAATACCGAGTCCCTGACCTCCCAACGGCCCGGGTGCCCCCATGGTAGCAGAACTGCGACAGGGCCTGCTTGTGCGCCTTGGTGCCAGGCAGTTGGCAGCCGCCAGACTGGAGACTCAGGGAAGCGAGGTGGGGGAGGCCTGCCGGCACTGTGAGCACAGCCGTCCCAGGGCCCTGGCGCCAGCCTTGAGCTCCGAGCTCCAGGGGCGCATTGGTTTAGGACCCAGAGTCTTCCAGGCTGTGATCCTTTCTGGGCCACTTCTGTGCAAGACCCCTTCTTCACCGCCAGGCCCCATTACCCCTTCTCCGCCCCCCACCCCCGGCGTATCTTCAGACCCCATCCTGCGCCTATCAAACACTGCCCTGCTAGCTGTTCCCAGCCTTTCCCATCCGCGAGTCCACAGGCCCCACTCACGCGGCTGTGGTGTCCGCAGACTATCCGCAGACCCCCTCCTGTCTTTCCTCCCTGTCCTCTAAGGATCCTGCAGGCCCCTACCTCTTTTATGTATCAACTCTGGCTCCTCTGAGGCCACATCCCTGCTGTAGCTCCCCGGTCCCCTCCAGATGGGCTGGGCTCCTATAGGCCCCTTCCAGCTGCCGCTCCCCGGCCCTCCCCAGCCTCCAGCCCGAACCTCTGCCCGGCTTCAGGCCCCGCCCCCTCCCGCTCCTTAAGGGTCGGCCCCTGCAGGTGCACCTGAACACGCGGGCCCTCCGCCCTCCTCTCGCGCCCCCTGGACCCCGTTCACTGTCTCTGGTCCCTGGAGGCCGCGGGACGCGCGGGGGCCTCGGCGCCGTTCCTGGCAACCTTCAGGCCCTTCCGCTCTGGCTCCTCGGGCCGCTGGCTGGGGGAGCGGGGCCGGGGCCGGGGTGAATAGCGGGGGACCCGGCGCAGCAACGGAGGCTCGCGGCTTCGGGAGAGAGGTGTCGGGCCTCCTAGCTGGGCCTGGGGAGCCCGGGGTCGCCCAGGTCCCCGGAGCTGGAGCCGGGGCAACGGAGGAGCGGTCAGGTCGGGTCTGCGTCCGCAGGCAGCTTCTCTTTGGCCAAGAAGGAAATGCGGGGTCAGACCCCAGGCAGTTTCCATCGGGAGGGCCTACGGAGACCGAGACCGAGAGCGGGAGCAGGCGCGAGTGTAACAGAAACAGAGACGGAGAGAAATAGAAGCCGAGGGACATACCCGAAAGGAGATGGAGACTAGGAGGAGCGGGAGGCAGGGAGAGACACACTGAGATTTACGAAGAGACAGAAACAGGAAGCTGTGTGAGGGTCAGAGGTGCAGGTCCTGGCGGGCTCAGTCGTTAAGCGTCTGCCTTCGGCTCAGGTCATGATCCCGGGGTCCTGGGATCGAGCCCCACATCGGGCTCCCTCCTCGGCGGGGAGCCTGCTTCTCTCTCCCGCTGCCCCTGCTCGTGCTATCTCTCTCTGTCAAATAAATAAAATCTTAGAAAAGAAAGAGAGAGAGAGAGAAAAATGCAGGTGGGACCTGGGAAGACCCTCAGCATCAGACGGAGGCAAACACAGGGAAGAAGGCCAGGCCCCATAGTAGTAGTGAGCTGGGCTGAAGGGCCAGGCTGACAGAGGGCTAGCAGGCTGCCCCTCCCTTACCCTCCGGCTGAGGGGCCTCAGAGAAGCGGGGAGGAGCCCAACCTGCATCCTTTCTCCCTCTGGCGCTCTCTCTCACTCTCATCTCTGGTTTAATCCCATCTGCTTCCCGCAAGGATTTCATGCCTCTCCCTCGGGTTCTTCCTCCCCATCTTCTTCCCTGCTTCGCCCACCCCCCACCCCCTGAGGCCCAAGTTGGCCTCCGTCTGTCTTGATCTGTCTCTCAGCCCTCCTTCCCCATTTCTCTACTTCAGTCTCCCTGGCTTGTGGCCATCTACCGGTGTGCGTGGGGCAGGTGGGTGGGGGAAGCAGCTGCTGAACAAGGAGGTAGTGAGATGGAAAGAATCAGGGAAGTACAACGGGGTCCAGCCCCGGCAGTGAGGTGGAGAATCACTGCCTCAGGCAGAGACGCTGAGAGGCTGGGGAGAGAGACGTGGAGAAATCAGACACCGAGAGAGAATGGAAAGAATTGGGACAGAGCCCAAGAGAGGGACCAAGACAAAGCGAAGCCAGAGTTTACGGAGATATCAAAGGAGAGACAGAGATGCAGAGAAAGAGATACCAAGAAAGAAAGAAAGAAAGAAAACCAGTAGGACAAGTGGGGAAAAGATGGGAAAAGAGAAAATGGAAGAAGGGAGATAGACATAAAGATTGGGAGAGTCAGACATCCTGCGGGGGTGAGGGAGAGAAAGGGGCAGAGAGAATCAGAACAAAACAAAGAAGTGAGAGAAATAAAGAGTCAGAGCAGAGAGAGGGAGAGAGAAAGCAAGAGAGACATGAGAGTTGGACACCCATACCCTCTTTCCCTGCATCCGGGGGTTGCTGGTCTGAGTGTTCTTATTTCCTTTGTTTTCTTAGTGGCAGCTGGAGAACAGGGCCTGACGGGGCAGGGCAGCTCCGCCAGCCCCAGCCCCAGCACCCCAGGTCATCGAAGTGGGTGGGAGGCGGGCAGCCTCCCCTGGGGATACGCTTTTTGAGGGCAACGCTCTGCTGTTGTGGAGGATGGCGTCAAGGAGCCCATTTGGGGCCAGCCTCTGCAGCCGGCCCACGGGAGCCATCTCTGGGGAATCTGCCGTGTCACCAGAAGGCCCACAAGCATGTTGAAGAGGAAGGATGTGCCAATGATCCCTTCTGAGGGGACAGAGGAACCTTCCTTTTGTTACCTTCCTTATACATATGAGGAAACGGAAGCCACCAACAGGTAAAGCAGCTCGTCCATGGCTATGCTGCCGGAAAGTGGCAAAGCCAGTATCTCTACCCTTATTTATAGTGCGTAGAGTTGGAGAGACGTGTCTTGCACCATAATTTCCAACACATTATCAATCAGCATTACAGGTGCCCTTTGAAGGTTTTCACGGGCCAAGGCAACAATTTCCAAGCCCCCTTTGTTAAAGTAATAACAAAGGACTCAAGGACTGACTTCATGGAGAGCAGGTTGGCAGCAATCTTGGGCATTCACACAGGCACCTTGTGAGAGGATCGTGTGCACTCAGGTTAAGAACCTTCATCAGATCGGACCCTTCTAACGTACGCTTTTTTTGTATGTATATCTCACTGAAGAGTTAAATACGAACCAGAGCCATATGTATCAACATGGATCATTCTCGAGCCTGCAGTATGGCACAGAAGAAGGAAAGCCAAGGACTGCTGTGTAGAGTACCATATTTGCAGTAAACACATGCAAACAATATATGCACTTCATGGATCCCTAATTACATAATGAGAGAATAAAATGATGCAAGGGAATGGTCAATAAGAATCTCAGTGTTGCATTTACGTCAGAGGACGAAGGGAGGATAGAATGGAAGAGAGGGGCGCCTGGGTGGCTCAGTCGGTTGAGTGTCTGCCTTCGGCTCGGGTCTTGATCTGGGGTTCCAGGAGGATCGAGCCCCGTGTCGGGCTCCCTGCTCAGCGGGGAGTCTGCTTCTCCCTCTTCTGCTCCTACCCCCAGCTTGTGCTCTCTCTCGCACTCTGCTCTCTCTCTCAAATGAATAAAAAAAAAAAAAAAGAATGGAGTAGAGGAAGCTAACCTAGTAGGTTTCAGCTGGAGCTGAAATATTTTGTTTCTTTTTTTTAAAGATTGATTGATTTATAAGAGAGCGAGCACATGCACACATGAGTGGGGGGAGGAGGGGCAGAGGGAGAGGGAGAAGCAGGCTCCCCGCTGAGCAAGGAGCTGAACGTGGGGCTCAATCCCAGGACCCCGGGATCATGACCTGAGCCAAAAGGTAGATGCTTAACTGACTGAGCCACCATGGCGCCCTGAAATATTTCATTTCTTAAAGGAAATACATTTGAGGCAAATGAAAAAATGTTGAGAGTTCACAGGTGGCCATTATATTACTATCTTCTGCAGATTGTTGTTCATTTGAAGATATGTCATAATTTAGGAGATGAAAAAAGAATCCTACTTGCCTTAAATTGAATATATAGATTAATTTGGGGACCCATTTCTCCAGTGTTGATTCTTCATGCCTGGAACACAACATCTCTTTCCATTCATTTCGGCCACGTTTTCTTTCCTTCTGTAAAAATGTGTAGAGCTCGGGGCACCTGGGTGGCTCAGTCGTTAAGCGTCTGCCTTCGGCTTAGGTCATGATCCCAGGGTCCTGGGATCGAGCCCTGCATCGGGCTCTCTGCT